GACCACAGGCGCCCGCCACAACGCCTGGCTATTTTTTGGTTGCAGCCATCATTGTTGTTTGGCAGGTCCAGGCTGGATTCGAACCTGCCACCTTAAGTGTATGTGGCTGGCGCCTTAGCCGGTTGAGCTACAGGCGCCGAGCCATATTTTTTAAATATATTGTTCCTATATATCAAAAGTCTCCAAAATGTTCATAGCCTTAGACCCAGCAATTTCTCTACTAGAAATTTCTCTTTTGCAGAAATGGAAAATTTCTCTACTAGGAATTTCTCTTTTTGCAGAAATAGAAAAGCTAAACTTATAATTCATAAGGAAATACGAGGAATCCAGGATCACTAAAACAATACTGGAAAAGAAGAATGATGTTGGTGAACTCACACTTCCAATTTCAAAATGTAGTGTAAATCTATACTGATCAAGACTGTGGTACTGACCTAAGGATAGAAATCTAGGTCAGTGGAATAGACCAAGAGTCCAGAAGCAAATCCACATTTATGGTCACTTGATTTCCTTGAAAGGTACTGAGACAATTAAGGGGGAAGAAAATCTTTTCAACAAATAGTGCTACGACAATGGACATCTACATGCGAAAGAATGAAATTGGACCTCTACATGATATTACGTATAAAATTAACTCAAATTGGATAGTAAAGTTAAATGTAGAAATTAAAATAATAAAAACCTAAGAAGTAAAAAGCAGGAGTAAATCTTTATGACTTTGGATTAGGCAATGGTTTCTTAGAATATGACACCCAAAACAAAAACGAGAAGAGAAAAAATAGATAAATTGGATTTCATCAAAATTGAAAATTGTGTGCTTCAAGATAACATCAAGAAAGTGAAAAGACAATTCATAGATTGTGAAAAAAAATATCTGCAATTCATATATCTGATAAGGGACATGTAACCAGAGTATCTGAAAAACTTCTATAGGGTGGTGGCTCATGCCTGTAGCCCTAGCACTCTGGGAGCCCAAGGCAGATGGACTGCTTGAGCTCAGGAGTTCAAGACCAGCCTCAGCAAGAGTGAGACCCTGTTTCTACTAGAAATTAGCTGGCCGTTGTGGTGGGCACCAGTAGTCCCAGCTACTCAGGAGGCTGAGGCAAGAGGATTGCTTGAACCCAAGAGACTGAGATTGCTGTCAGCTATGATGACGCCATAGCACTCTACCCAGAGTGACAGAGTGGGACTCTGTCTTTAAAAACAAACAACCAGGGCAGCACCTGCGGCTCAAAGGAGTAAGGCACCGGCCCCATATGCCGGAGGTGGCGGGTTCAAACCCAGCCCAGGCCAAAAACCGCAAAAAAGAAAAAAGAAAATAAAAGAAATTTATTAAAAACAAATAAACAACAACAACAACAAAAACCCTCTTACAGGCTCAGCGCCTGTGGCTCAGGCGGCTAAGGCGCCAGCCACATACACCTAAGGTGGCAGGTTCGAATCCAGCC